GTAGTTGTAGTAGTAGTAGTAGTAGTAGTCGTAATAGTAGTAGTTGTTGTTGTTGTAGTAGTTATAGTAGTAATAGTGGAAGTAGTAGTTAGAGTAGTGGCCGCAGCACTACGCATATACGAGTATTGATCATATGAGTACGTTTAGTTTCATCACCATTGTCAGCATCATTATTGAAACTTGTACTACTAGTATCAGTAGTATCACCAGTATTAGTACGGCTAGTATTAATAACATGGATACGATGACTCTTAGATTTCGTCTGATTTATACGTACTATGATGATGCTTCATCTTCTTCTTCGAGGTCCTGAAGGCCCATACCCCCCCCGAGCCCGTTGTGTTTTTCTGTCTTGTCACAACGAAGCTCCCCAGATGCCTGGGCCCCTTCCCCAGGACCGGCCTCATCATCCCGAGCCGTTACCTGGCGGCCCCGGGGCCCAGGAAGGGCCCCCAGGAGACCAACAACCAAAAACGCGAAAAAGCATCAGCCACGGTGTCTCACGACGCGAGGAGTTCAGGGAACTCGTGCCCGATCCCCAGGTGTCCGCCAAATGCGACTTGATTTCTTCCAGTTCTGCGGCCCCAGAACTCCGCTGACCCCCTCCCCGGGGAGGGAGTTTTCCGTCCTGGCCACGGGGGGGCCCATGAGACCGAAACCGATGGAAAACGTCAGATCTCAGGAGCAACCAGAAACACATGAAACTTGGGGGACGGACCGATCCCGCTGCTCCCTGGACCTCCCCGAAGGGCTCGATCTGGCGCCAGAGCTCTGGGGAGAACCCAGCCGTGGCCTCGGGGGCTCCCTGGACGAGCAGAGACATCAGTGCGGCAGCGGGGGGAAATCAGTGGACACCCCCCCGCTCCCCAAAACTCAGAGTTGGCACGCGCGGGGGAGACTGCTGTCGAAGTGGAATTCATCAGACCCACCGCCAACTTTGACAATGGGGGGGAGGGGGAGGCATTGACCGATGAATGTGGCATGCGTGTTCGCTGAATTGTTCCAAGACCTGCATCTTCTCCTCCTCGGAGATCTGATAGAGAATTAAAACAACGACGTGAACAGAAACTGTCGGAGGTCCGCGCGCATGTCTACGGAGAGGGAGAATCCAGACGCAGACCGAGCACTCCGTACGGACCCACTCCGTACGGACTTCGCCTCCTATCAGGAGGGGCTACGTCCAGGCGGAGTAAGCCCGGACGGAGAGCGAGCACTCCATCTGGACCCACTCGCTTGTGGACTTACCCCGAGATCCGACGTAGCTAACAAGAATTGCAACATTGGACGAACAAACACGCCCGGCACCCTAGACACAATCTCTCTGCGCCATTCTTGGAGCCGGATCGACCAGCGGGGGTCCCGGGGCTCGAAAAAGACAAAAAGCCGAGCTCGAACAATTGGGACGCCAAGATCTCCTCTACTAATCCCCCTCCCTGAGCCCGGCGCCGGCGGTAAACCGTCAACCCTGGCTGCCGACGGGAAGCTGGTAGAGCTGCTTCTCGAGCACAGACGCATCTGAGCTTCCCCCCAGAAAAAAAATGTCTTGCTGCCCTAAGCCCCGAGTCTTAGCAGAGGCACGGTTCGAACAAACACCCTCCCCGAGCCCGGATGCGCTCTAGCTCGTCCGGCGCCGGCAGCAGCTTGTAGGCGGCGCCGCGCCCCTGGCCTGGCATCTGCCGCATAGCGCGCCCCTTCGCGGGGCCCCCGGCCGGCAGCCCGGGGCCGGCTCTGCGGCCCCCTGCAGCTTGGGCCCCCCCCCTTCCCGCCCGCCAGCGCGTGCAGCCGCGCGCACCGCTCGGCCGCCTCGGCGGCGGCTGCTGCGGCGGCGGTTGCTGCGGAGGCGGCCCTGACCCCAGCCCCAGCCCCTGCCCTATGGCCCCCACCCCCAGACCCCCTCGGGCACTGAAAGAAGCATGACGGGAGGCTTTTGGCCATCTTCGGCCTCGGGGGGCCCTTGCCGGCCCTCGGGACCGCCAAAAAACGATTCAGGATGACAAACCAGTCCTGTGGGAAGACCTCCGGAGACCCCATATTGAAAATAATCACGGAAATGGGTCGAGACCTCCGGAGACCCCATATGGAACTAAATCACGACGTCGGATCTCTGGGCCCCAGCCCTGGTCCTCGCCCTATATAGCCCTCACCCTGACCCTGCCCCCAGGGGGCGCGCGGCGCGGCGGGCTACACAGGGGGCGGCGGCGCAGACGACGGCCCAGGCCAGATCTCAGTGCACATGCTGGACTGCGGTTGCCCCGTCGTTCGGCCTCCGGGGCCCGCGGCGGGGGCAGCCAAAGGGAGCCGGTGCCGCTACTCCCCGGACCTCTCCTGGAGTGCGCTCCAGCCAAGGTCTCGGCACGAAGCCAGCGGCGGCGACGACGGGTGCCCAGGAGGCGAAACTTTTTTTCCTTGGGGGGAGAACGCACAGCAGCCACGAGGCTGTGACCGCCGGGACTCTGGTGTTGCTTGCTGCCGGCGCCGGCCCTGGCGGACAGGTCTTGCCCCGCCGGAAAAGCAGAAGGCGGCGGGACTTCTCAGAAGCCCTCGCGCCATCTGAAAAGTTGTTTCTGTCTTCGGGGAAGGAGTAGGACATTGCCCCAGCAATTTGCCGAGGAAGAGGGGGGAAGGAGGAGGAGGAGGAGGAGGAGGAGGAGACAATTCACTAATACCGTGCGAAAGCTGCTGGCCAACCTGCAATGGGCAGGCTGGTCCGCACACGTAGTGCCAGAGAACACGGGCGGACGAGTTCTGCAGCCCCTGTAGGGCCCCGCTTGCCAGACACCAATACGCTCACAAGGTGAGACGGAACAGGCGTGCGCAACCCCGACGGCCGACCAGCCGTTCCTAGAACGCGCAGCCGCTGTGGGCTCGGGCCCGTGGACATCGAAAGAGTGGCCCGGGACAGGCAGAAACGCGAGCTCGCCAGGAGATCTGCGGCCGCGGACCGCACAGAACACGTCGTCGGATGCCGCACCACGGCCTGCGCCCGTCAAAACGCCAGCTGTGCCAGCACCGACTGCATGCGCCACTGGCGGCGGTGAGCCTGGCCCAGGACTCCATCTCTGGCAGTCACAAGAACCGGCCGTGCCGTCGTCATTGGGATATCCCTGAAGATCATAGCCTCCGCCGCAAGCATCGCGCGCCGATGCTGGTGCCAGCGTGGGGGCCCAGACCCCCGACGTCGTGAATACAACGTCGACCCCCAGAGGTCTGGACCCCTTCCCGGGGACCCGTTTTGCATCGCGAGTCGTTTTTCTGACGGTCCCGAGGCCAGGGAAGGGCCCCTGGAGGCCGAAAGTAAGGCAAGGACTTCCCGTCGCGATTTCTTCACGACGCGAGGAGGTTTGGGGTCGTCCTGGTGGTCAATGGTCGTATTAGGCAGGGCTGCGCGCGTCGCGGCTGCTGGCCGGGCGGGCACCGCTTCCTCCAGCGCAGGGCCTTCCGAACAACCGACAGCGTGTACGTCGCCTGGCACTCATCGCTGGCAGCTGCCGGCAGCTCCCACTCGATCGCTGCGCGCATAGGCTGCCGGCACAACGCGCCAGCATCGCAGAAACTCATACAGCGATGAGGAGCCCAGGGCCGCCCGCCGCGCGCGCAGCGCCCGCAGCAGTCCAGCGCTGGCGGAGCAGCCGCTGGACGACTGCTCGGCCGCCGCCCGCGGCGGCCCCCGCGCGGGCGGCGGACTCCGCCGCGCGCGCCGGGGCCGCCCAGACGGCCAGCGCCAGGGCCACGGAAAGGCAGCGCCTGGCCGCGGGCATCGCCCAACAGAGGTGGGGGGCCGGCGGCACGGGCGCGCCGGAGCGCGCCTCGAGGGCGCCAGGGGGGCCAGGGCGGGTCGAGCCTCAAGCCCGAGGGGCTTGAGCCAGAATGGCTACGGTGGCTGGGCCGATGAGGGCGAGGGCGAGGGCGAGGGCGAGGACGATGACGAGGACGAGGACGGGGAGGAGGAGGAGGAGGAGGAGGAGGAGGAGGAGGAGGAGGAGGAGGAGAAGGAGGAGGAGGAGGAGAAGGAGGACGACGACGACGACGAGGATGAGGACGAGGACGAGGACGAGGACCGTGACGAGGATCCAGAGGGACCGGCCCCCCGGGCAAGGATCGAGAGGCAGCCACGTCTTGCAAAAGCGGGCCTGCCGCAGCGCTGGCCGGCGGGCACCAGGACCTGCAGGCAACCACGCGCTGCCCACAGATGTCCCGCGGGCCCCGGGCGTGAGGCAGCCGCGCGGTGGCGCCGCAGAGCACGCGACGCCGATGCCGCGCGTGTGCACTTCCGCCGCCTGCCGCCGCCCTGCCGCCCGCGGAGCCGCCGCCGCGCTCGGCCTCCGCCGGCCTCCCGCGCCCAGCCGCCGCCGAGGCAGGGGGACGCGCCGAGGGCACAGGCCGCAGGTCTGCAGGCCACGCGGGGCCCCTGCGGGGGCGTCCCGACACCCCAGCGTCGGCTGCACCCACAGGGTCAGGGCCCCCAGGCCCCCCGACGTCATGTGCTTGGCACAGCGTTGACCCCAGAGGTCTCGAGCCCTTCCTCTGGACCGGTGTTTCATCCCAAGTCGCTTTTTGACGGCCCCGAGGGCCGGTAAGGGCCCCCAGAGGCCGAAAATAGCAACAATAAAAAACATGTTCTTTTGCAATTATCCGAGGGGGTCTGGGCCTGCAGGTGGTCGCAGAAGAAGATCGACCCAGAACGGATGATGCAGAACGGACGACCCAGAAGGATGAGGGAGCGCGTGGCCCCACGAGCGCCACAGAGGCAGCGAGAATCTCGATCGTCGTCTCCCCCTCGCGGCCACCTGCATGCAAGCGAGTGGCCCTGGCCCGTGTCGAGGTTGTGGGGCCAGGCACGAGGATCAAGAATCTCCAGATTCTGGAGCGTGTGGGGCCCACCTGGAATCGCCGCGGAGCCTCGGGAGACCTCCGGGAGGAGAAGCAACAGCGGCATGAGGTCCACGATTGTCACCCCCCTCGCCGTCTCCCTCCTCCCCATCCCCTTCCAGGGGGGGGGCGTAAGACAAAGCCTCGCGCAGCGCCTCCACGAAGAACTGGCAGCCCGCGGAGGCAACGAGCGCGAGGGGGGAGGCCGTCGCTGCCTCTTTCAGCGCTGTCGCCACAGACAGGCTCGGGAACCAGAAGACACCGAGCGACACAGCGAGATTCAATCTGCGGGATGTGAGGCTACGCCAGGCTCGCGACGTGACGATCTCGGCCTTGGCTTCTGACGCCGCGGAGGTCGCTCGGCCTTACAGGATCGCGGCACCCCGATAACGCAGATCGCTCGATACTGGCCGATTCCAGGCCACAGGCGGCGTCCAACCCGGAATGCCCGCGCTTGCGGGCAAGACCATTCCACGGCGTCTCGGGCTTAATGGGGGGGATGCACAGCAACGAGGCGCCGCGGATATGTGTATGCTCGGCGGCGCGGCCGAGGGGGGGAGGCAGAGGATGCGGGCCATCTCGGAAGAAGTCTACGATTAAGTCGGGCGTGTCCCTCTACAGGAGAAACATTCAAAGATAGTCAAACAATAATACGCGAACGATGTTCCACCACTTTTGACAACTTTGGGGCATGTTTGTGATATTTGTGTGTCCTCCCTCCGGAAGCAGCCTGTAGGAGGGCATGCCCGACCGAAGTCGACGACGAAGCCGCAGGGCTTCTGAGAAGCCCCGTGCCGAAATCCTGCCCGCGGCGCTCTGGGGGAGGGGAAGGCGGCCGCCACGTCGCCACGGCACGAGCCTGCTGGACCAGAACAACAGAGGCGACACCCCGCCTCACCTGCGGCCCCACGGGGCTCAGCGCGTACCACCGAACCCGGCGTGGGCTGCTGCGTGGTATAGGCCACGGCCCCCGATGGGCCGCAGCGCCGCATGAGGAAAGGGACAAACGATGACATACACATCAAACAACTCGGAGGTCCGCGCGGATTTCTCGGATCTGCGCTGGACCCCCTTGGCGGCGCCTCAGGCACCGCCCCTGGAGCGCTCCGCGCGCCAAGGAGGGGGGTCCAGCGCCGATCCGAGAACTCCGCGCGGACCTCCGAGTTTTGTATGTTCATGTCGTTCTTCGTTCCCCTAAGGAATAGCAAGGAAAGGCGACACCAACACCAACAGGGCGAGGAGATGCGCGGAGGCAAGGGGGGTCTACCTGGTGGTGTGGTCCGCCCCCTCTCGCTCGAGGCATCCCCAGTCCCTCGCTCGGGGAGGCGTCGTGGACCTCCTCGCTGGAGCTGGGCCCCCTGGTGGTGTTGGTGTCGCTCCTCCTCCTCTCCGAGAGGAAGGGCCGTGGGTGGGGCGGTGTCGCCCGTCGTCTGGCCGACCTGCCGGGAGCGGGCTCCGCGGCTCGGTCTGCGCGCAGGGCCCTGCGCAGAGGCAGGGCGCCGGAGCAGGGGGGCGCGGCGGGCGGGCGTCCGAATTCAGTCGGGCCGGGGCGAGCGCGGCGGGCCGGGGAAGAGAAAGCGGCACGGCGTGGAACGTGACGCAACAAAGCCATACTCATGCTATACGTCCGCCTTGGAGGCGCGCGTCCGACCCGAGCACATAATTAGTAGACCCATCTTGTAATAGATCGTTTTTCGAGCGGTGTGGCCAGAAAGCGCCCGCCACGACGCATATATTATAAGATTTCTCGGTGCGCGCGTCGCTCCTGGGGGGGCGACGCACACATAGTATAAATATGTTGGGGGTTCGCCGATGAGATGTCGCAGGTACGCTACCTTCTCTCTTCCATGACAACAGTGAAGGCGCCCTAGGAGATCCGACGCTCCGGGGAAATTGTAGCGGGCGATCTTTGGCCGTGTTCGGCCTCGAGGGGCCCCTGCCGGGCCTCGGGAGTGCTCAAAAACTACTCAAGACGAAAACCGGCTGTAGCGAAGTGGTCCAGACCTCTGGGGCCAACGCATTGAAAAAACTGGAGCAGCCAGATGTCTGGGTTTTCTCTTCCACGACAACAACGCAGGCGCGGCAACAGAGAGCCCCAAACCCTCGGCGACAGCCGAGCGTCGAATGTACACTATTGTACCAGTCCTCTAAACAAACAGCTCTGCTCAAGTGCTCTGCCCGCCACACTCTTCGACACTATTTAAAAGAAGACGGGGGAGGAGAAGGAGGAGGAGGAGGAGGAGGAGGAGGAGGAGGATGGGTATGAGGAACAGTTGGGAGTCCCCTACCTACGGCACCAGTCTCGAAGTCTGAGGTGCATCTGCCTGGACAGCTTTGCTCGAACTGTCTACCCGACTCGAAGAGGAAGATCTCCGCATGAGCACAAACACTCGGAGGCCCGAGCAGGTTACCGGAATGGCGGCAGAGCCCCCGAGCGACGCCTGCAGCGCCGCCCTCGTCGCGCTCCGCACGCTGGCGCTGCTCCTTGAGGTCCGCGCGGACCTCCGGACGCCGATCTCTACGCCGTTACCTACCCTTTCCTGGCCACAGCGAGGACCGGCCACATCTACGTTCTCCGACTCGGACCTCCGGAGCGGCCCGAAAACCACGGCGCATCCTGGACCCGAAGCGTCCCTGATTTCAGAGCCTTGGCTGCACGATACGGGGCCTGCGTGAACGGGTGCGCAACTGCAGAGGGAACCGCCCGGATTGGAGAGAAAGAGAACGGGAACCGTGACCAAGGCTGAACGCGGAAATGTCAGTGTCGATCTTTGGCTACAGCCTATCTTGGTAATCGTCAATTCGTGGATCATTCTCGCTATCCGGTGACGGTCGGCACGGACCATGACCAAGGACGATGTCGACGAGGAGGCCAAGCGTCACCAAGAGAGATCCATCCACAATCGTCGACGAGACCCCCGCACTATGCGTGAGGTCCGCTGCGAGACCCGCAACGCGGGCGACATCCGCCGCCTCGGGGTCCGACGGCACCCATCCGCCTGGCCCTCTCCGTTTGTTGTGGAGGAGGCGATGGAGGTGAAAAAGGGCGGCGTCGACGAGGAGCAAGAGGAGGAGGAGGAGGAGGGGGAGGAGGAAGCGGAGGAAGGAGGAGGAAGAGGCGGGGAGAAGGAGAAGAAGGAGGAGGAGACAAGAAAGAGACGAGGAACAGGAGGAGGAGAAGGAAGGAGGAGTAGGAGGAGAAGGTGTGGAGAAGGAGGAAGAAGGGGAAGGGGAAGGGGAAGGAGGAGGAGGAGGAGGAGGAGGAGGAGGAGGAGAAGAGGGAGGAGGAGAGGAGGAGGGGAGAAGGAGGAGGAAGGAGAAGGAGGAGGAGGAGGAGGGGAGGAGGAGCAGGAGGAGGAGGAGGAGAAGTAGGAGGAGGAGCGATGGAGGAGGAGTGGTGGAGGCCGTGCGCGGGGCGGCGCTGTGGCTCCGCGCGGGTGCTCCGCGTGCAAGAGCCACGACGCGCCGCTCATGCCCGCTACTCGTCGAGGCCCTTCAGGGCGTCCCTGCGCGACGAGCGCCTCCTCCTGCTCCTCCTCCTCCTCCTTCTCCTCCTCCTTCTCCGACTCGTGCTCCTCCTGCTTTTTCTTCTCCTCCTCCTCCTCCTCCGCCTCCTCCTCCTTCTCCTCCTCCTCCTCCTGCCTCCTCCCTCCTGCTCCTCCTGCTCCTCCTCCTCCTCCTGCTCCTCCTGCTCCTCCTCCCTGCTCCTCCTCCTCCTCCTCCTCCTCCTCCTCCTCCCTCCCTCCTCTCTCCTCCTCCTCCGCTCTCCCTCCTGCTTTTCCCCCGCGTGCCTGCTCCTCCTGCTCCTCCTCCTCCTCCTCCTCCGCCTCCTCCCGTCCCAGCGCGGGCCACTTTTGTGAGCCCGAGTCTTTCTTCATGGATGTCGCCCGCCTCATTTCCCTGTCTCCGCCGTCCCCTCGTCCTCCTGTTCCTTCCGATCCTTCCACTCCAATTCCAGCTGCTGCTAGCCCTCGTCCTTTTCCTCTCGCTCATCCTCCTGTTCACCGCCACCTCCTCCATCTGCGCATGCAGCTCCCCTTTGCCGATTGCGCATAACACGATCTGGTCTTTTTGTTGGAGTTGCAGGTCGGCCATGACACGCAGAAAACATCAGCGCAATGGGAAGGGTCGGCAGGGATAGGATGCCAGATGAGGCGCGAGCCCACCCAGCTGACCTCTCCCGTCTCTCGTCCCTCCTCCTCGGCCCCTGCCCTGCCCTCCTCCCCTCTCCTCGCCCTCCTTCCTCCTCGCCCTCTCCCCCCCCGCCCCCCCTGGGGGGCGCCTCAACGCCCCCCTGCCCCAGCAGACGTTGAAGTCCTTGGGGGCGTCGTCCGTCCCAGCGCCGGGGCTGCCTCGCCGCTGGCCCCGCGCGGGGAGGAGGGCGACGGAAGCGGCCAGTCGGGGCAGAGGCGGCCCCAGAAGGGGGGGCACGGGGAGGAGGACGGGGGGAGGGAGGGAAGGAGGAGGGCGGAGGAGGGTAGGGGGGAGGACGGAGCGGGGGAGGGACGAGCAGGAGGAGGAGGAGTGGGGGGGGAGAAACGGGGGGAGGAGGAGGAGGAGGAGGGGAGGCGAGGTGCAGCGAGGTTGGGCGAGAGAGGGGTCGCGGAGCGAGCAGGAGGAGAATCGGGAGGGAGGAGGGAGGAGGAACAGGAGGAGGAAAGACAGGAAGAGTCTCTCAGGGTTCCACGGGTTCTTTCAGGAATCCTTCGGGATCTCCAGCATTCCTCAGTATTGCTGAGTATCCTGCACTGTTCCTCTGAATACCTCATCATCCATAAGAGTATCGTGCAAATGCTCCTGAGGATTCGTCGGAATCCCTCAGGCTTCATCCGGATCCACCACAAAGCTCTGAGAAATCTTCGGGATCAGGCAAGATTCGACTACATCCGCCTCGACTTGTCCGTGTCCTCAAGGAAGCTTCAGGATCCACCAGACCCCCTCCCAAACCTTCAGACCCCCAATGAATCATCGCGCCAGGGAAGCCCCGAATAATCACCCAAAACCATGAGCAACCTCAAGATTCTTTGAAAATCGATCGGAATTCTCCGCCCTCTCACCCCCCGCCCCGATTCTTCAAAATCAACGAGGGATCCAACCATCCCAACGAGAACCAATACGAGCCTCTCAAAATGTCTCAACATTCCTACACATTCCTGCACATCAGAATTCCTACGGGCGCATGACAAATCCTTCAGGACTCTTCCAAACACTCAAAACCGCTCAGGATGTCTCCGAGCCCATGCTAAAACCAGCAGGGTTCCTCCGTCTTCCTGAACATGCCTTAGAGTTCCTCCAGGATCCCGCAGGAAATCTCGGGATCCCCCTGGATCCCCCAGAATCCCTCAGGTTTCCTTGAAATTTCTCAGCATGCCTCAGAATATGTGGTAGGGTTCCCCCGAATCCCTGGCGACTCCTGGGGATTCCTCAAGGTTCCTTACGATTCTCCAAAAATTCTTAGGAGTTGAAACTGGGTTCCTCAGCATACATCAGATATATACCGAAGGACTCTCTGGGATTGTTCTGGATTCTTCAGAGAGCTTTACTAGTCCTCAGAATTCCTCTAACGTCTCAAATTCCATCGGGTTTCCGCTGAACTCCTGAAGGATCGCTCAAAATCTGTGGCGAGTAGGAGACAATCAGGAATCCTCAGAATCCTTCAGCACCCCTCAGGCCTTGAAGACAAGCTCAGGATTCTTCAGAACTCACGGGCCTCCCTCACGATTCCTCTGGCACGTGAGGCACACGGCGCTCCCCGGGAAGCGCCATGGAGGCGCCAACACCTCCTCCGGCCCCTTGGGGAACCTGCCGCCGCCGCCCCAGTGCGAACGCATTCTCACGGCCCAGGGGGGCAAGCCCGTGGTCGCTGGAGCTCTGATTGCCCGAGCACGAGCCTTGACTGCATCAAAATACACGTCGTTCATTTCTGATCGTGCTCATTTCTAGTTGTGCTCGTTTCTAATGGTTCTTGGCCCCCTAGTGGCAGGAAGAGGCCCAGGATAGCACAATTAGAAGTGAAAGGATTGTGGCCCCCCAAAGATCAAGGGATGTTCGAAGCATTAGAAATGAACAACGTGTAATTTAAGAGGCATGAAGAGAGGCCAGGCAAGGGTTCAAGGGAACCCGCAGGGACCTCAAGAGCCCTCCCCCCACAAGACGGCCTCCAAGACCCTCAACGTGACCCCAAGCGGACAAAAAAACCCGAGACTATCAATGACAATGGACACCCTAACAGTCCTATCACTGAATTTAAAGTGTGTTTAAAATGTCGGAACATGTTCTAAGCATGGTTTAAACATGTGTTTTACATGTTTAAAACATGTATAACACATGTTTTAGACATCTGGAAATTGTTTGGCAACATGCTTCGTCTCCATTGATCGTCCTCCACAAACATGACCCCAAGCGGACCCCTGGAAAAAGCCCGAGACCCGGAGAGTCCCCAAACAACTCCGGCAGTTTCGAAAAAGCCCCAAACAGCCGCCCCCATAGGCCTCCAAGAGGCCCCCGAGACGCCCCGCAGCAGAAGCGGGGGAAATGGAGGACGAGTCCGCAACAACTGAACGCAGACAGCAAAACTGGACATGGCAAATGAGACAGACGCAATCAGAAGCC